GTTTGGATTGTCTATTTTGTTGATTTTCTTGAAGAATCAACTCTTGGTCTCACTGATTCTTTGTTTTGTTTTCTTTATTTCTATTTTGTTGATTTCAGCTCTCAATTTCACTATTTCCTGCCATCTAGTTCTCTTGAGTGAGTTTGCTTCTCTTTGTTCTAAAGTTTTCAGATGTTCTGTTAACACGCTAGTGTGGGATTTTTCCAGATTCTTTATGTTGGCAATTAGTGCTATGAGCTTTCCTCTTAACACTGCTTTCAATGTGTCCCATAAATTTGGGTATGTTGTGTGGCCATTTTCATTGAATTTTAGAAAGTCTTTAATTTTTCCCTTTGTTTCTTCCTTGACCCATTGATGATTCAGGTGAGCATTGTTTAATTTCCATGTGTTTGTGGGCTTTCTGAAATTAATGTTGCTATTGAATTTGAATTTTAAGCCATGGTCATCCAATAAGATACATGGGGTTAGTTCATTTTTTTGTATCTGTTGAGGTTTGCTTTGTTACCTAGTATTTGTTCAGTTTTTGAGAAGGTTCCATGAGGTGCTGAGAAGAAGGTATATTCTTTTCTGTTTGGATGGAATATTCTATAGATGTCTGTTAAGTCCATTTGTTTCATAACATCTGTTAGTTCCCTTATTTCTCTGTCTGGTTTTAGTCTGGCAGACCTGTCGAGTGGTGACAGTAAGGTGTTGAATTCTCCTTACTATTAGTGTGTGGGGTTTAATGTGTGATTTAAGCTTTAGTAGTGTTTCTTTCACATATGAGATGCTCTTGTATTTGGGACATAGATATTCAGTATTGAGATTTCATCTTGATGGATTTTTCCTATGACTAGTATGAAACGTCATTCTTTGTTTCTTTTGATTGATTTTAGTTTGAAGTCTATTTTGTTAGATATTAGGATAGCTATACCAGCTTGTTTCTTAGGTCCATTTGATTGGAAAGTTTTTTCCCAGCCCTTTACTGTGAGGCCATATCTGCCTTTGAGGTTTAGGTATGTTTCTAATGCAGCAGAAGTATGGATTCTGTTTTTGTATCCAATATGTTAGCCTGTTTTTTATAGGTGAGTTGAGTCCATTTATATTAAGGGATATTAATGACCAGTGATTGTTATTTTTAGTTTTCATTGTTGGTGATGTTAATTTGTGTGTTTTTCCCTTTTGGGGGGGATTTGCTGCTGTGAAATCATCTATTTTATGTGTGTGGGTTTTTTTTTGATATAACTAACTTCTTGGGTTAGAGTTTTCCTTCTAATACTTTGTGTAGGGCTAGGTTTGTGGCTAGGTATTGATTAAATCTGGTTCTGCCATGGAATATTTTGCTTTGTCCATCTATGATGATTAAAAGTTTTTCTGGGTATAGTAGTCTGGGCTGGTATCCATGGTCTCTTAATGTCTGCATGATGCTTGACCATGACTTTCTGGCTCGCATTGTTTCCATTAAGAAGTCATGTGTAATTCTGATAGGTCTGCCTGTATATGTTACTTGGCCTTTTTCCTTTGCAGATCTTAATATTCTTTCTTTATTCTGTATGTTTAGTGTTTTGATTATTATGTGGCAAAGGGACTTTTTTTTTTTGGTCCATTCTATTTGGTGATCTGTAAGCTTCTTGTATCTTCATATGCATATCTTTCTTTAGGTTGGGAAAGTTTTCTTCTATGATTTTGATAAATATATTTCCTGTGCTTTTGAATTGGACTTCTCCTTCTTCTATCCATATTATTCTTAGGTTCGATCTTTTCATGATGTTCCATATTTCATGAATATTTTATGTTAAGCTTTTGTTAGATTTAATGCTTTCTTTGATTGATAAGTCTATTTCCTCTGTCTTATCTTCAGCACTTGAGATTCTCTCTTCAACCTCTTGTATTCTGTTGTTTGTGTTTGCATTTGAGGTTCCTGATTATTTCCCCAAAATTCCCTCGGTTTATACTTTCTTTATTGTCTCTATTTTGGTTTTTAAGTCTTAAACTTTCACCTGTTTGATTGCTTTTTTTGTTTGTTTGTTTGTTTGTTTGTTTTTTAGAGACAGGGTTTCTCTGTAGCTTTGGAGCCTGTTCTAGAACTAGCTCTGTGGACCAGGATGGCCTTGGACTCACAGAGATCTGCCTGCCTCTGTCTCCTGAGTGCTGGGATTAAAGGCGTGAGCCATCACCACCCATTGATTGCTTTCTCTTGGTTTTCTTTAAGGAATCTGTTGATTTCTTGCATTTTTTGTTTGTCTTTTCCTCCATTTCTTTGAAGGAATTTTTCATTTCCTTTTTAAGGACCTCAAACACTCTCCCAAAATTATTTTTAAGTCATTTTCTTCTGCTTCATCTGCATTAGTGTGTTCAAGTCTTGCTGTTTTGGAGCCACTAGTTTTTTATGATTTTGTGTTACTTTTTGTGGTGTTAAGTGTATTTTTATCTTGTCTACCCATATTTTCCTCTGGTTGGTGTAGTCTCTAGTGATCACTCTTCCAGGTACCAGTAGATCCAGGTCTCAGATGTTTTCTCCTCGTGGTGGAGTCGGGACCATGGTTCCAGTCACCCCAGAGGTGACTCTATTCCCAGAGGTCGCTCGGCAATACTGGAGGTCACTTTGCAATCCTAGAGATCATTTGGGCCTGTTTTCACAGAGGTTTCTGGCTCAGACCTGCTCCCATGGAGGTCGCTGGCTTGAGCCTACTCCAGTGAAGGTTGCTCACTCAGGCCTGCTCTAGTAGAGGTTGCTGGCTCTGGCCTGCTCCTACGGATGTCCTTGGCTCAGGCCTGTTCCCACCGAGGTCACTGGCCTGGACCTGGTCCCATGGAGGTCACTGGTTCGAGCCTTCTCCCGTGGAGGTCACTTGCTCAGGCCTACTCTCATGGAGGTTGCTGGCTCGGGCTCAGTCCCACAGAAGTCACTGGCTCAGGCCTGCTGTGGCAGAGGTCACTGGCTTGGGCCTGCCCCTGCAGAGGTCACTAGCCTAGGCCTAGTCCCATGATAGTTGCTGGCTTGGCCTAATCCAGAGAAGGCCACTGGCTCGGGCCTGCTCCATAGAAGGTCACTGGCTTGGGCCTGCTCTGGTGGAGGTCACTGACTCAGGCAGAGATTGCTTGCTCAGACCTGGTCCCACAGATGTCCCTGGCTCAGGCCTTAAGAAACTTTTTTTTTAATGTTCAATAGTCTTAGCCATCAGTGAAATACAAATTCAAATTATCTTTAGGTTTCATCTTACCCCAAACAGAATGGCCAAGCACAGTAAGACAAATGACAGACAGCATATGTGGGGAGAATGCAGGGAAAGAGGAACACTTACTCATTGCTGGTAGGCGTGCAAACTGGTACAGACACTGTGGAAATTCAAGATGAGAATTGATCTACCACAAGGTAGAGCTATATCACTCTTGGACAAACACCCAAAGGTCTCTATATTCTTCTATAGAGACACTTGCTCATCCAGGTTCATTGCTACTCTATTCACAATTACAGAACTGGAAACACAACCCTAACGCCTGCCAACTGATGGCTAATGAGAGTGTGAGACATTCGCACAATAGAATCCTATTTGGCTATTAAGAAAAATGAAATTATAAATTTTGCTGGTAAATAGAGCTAAAACAATCATCTTGAGGGAGCTAGCCCAGACCAGAAAGACAAAGAGTGTGTATCTTCTCTCATGAATGCATGTTTGCTTTTAAGCTTTAGACATGTGTGTTTTATTTAGGATATCTACAGAAGCGAGTCAGATAATAAAAGACCAGCATGGGGAGGAGGGAATCTTCCAAGTAAGGAGAAGTAGAATATAACATTAAAAATAGATATAGGAGAAATTATAATAGAAGGATTAGATGGAGAGAGGAACAGGGCATCAGGATAAGGAGGGATCATAGACAGGGACAACAAACACTAAAGGCATATGAAAACCCACTACTGTAGAGGTGTACACACACACACTCACATACATATGAAAGAGAGAGTTCAAATGGAGTTACCATATAATAGGGGAGAGAATAACCCAACTAGAATGTTATTAAATGAAGCCCCCAGTGCCAGGAATGAGTTACATCTGTTTGAGTCATTGGCCAAAGAGGTTCTATGGACTCCCTCAAACATTATGGACCATCGTCAATGCTATTGGTTACCGTCCATAACCTGCTTACAAGACTCTATTGCTGAAGATACCATGTACCTTGGTCATTAAAGATAGAGAAACTGAGCTGGTAATCAACTGGAAGCTTCATTCTTTCTGACTAGAATTCATAGCTGGAAGGTACTATACATGCTGGCAAAGTAGAAAAGTAGTCATTGATCTCACCCAGTTACAACCCTGGGAGCTAAAATAGCAACCTACCAGTAAGATAATGCCAACTGTTTCTATAGTGAAAAAAATATTATTTAAGGTCTACTCTATGAGATGGAATCCATACTTGACACTACTAAAGTTGGCAAGAAGCTGAGACTACATAGGTCATAGGCTCAAAGGGGAATCCACTACTATAATTCTGCTAAAGGAAATTAGCAATAAGATTGGTGCAGGAGAATTGTCTGTATTCTGTCAATCATGTCTTAAATAAACGCTGATTGGCCAGGCAGGAAGTATAGGCAGGAAAACCAGACAGGAAGTAGAAATAATGCAATGAGAACAGGAGAATTCTAGGAAGGAGGAAGCTGATTCCTCCCAGTCCTGCACAGACCATCGAGGAAGCAGGATGTGACCTGCCAGCTGAAAAAGGTACCAAGCCATATGGCTAAAATAGATCAGAATAATGGGTTAATATAAGTTACAAGAACTAATAAGAAGCCTGAGCTAATGGGCCAATCAGTTTTATAACTTACGGAGCTCTCTGTGTGATTTTCTTTAAGGCTTGCTGGCTGTGGGGTACCGGTTTGGACAGAAACCCCAACAAGCAGACCCTGTTCATGTTACAAATGGCACCCAATGTGGGGCATGAACCCACGATCCTGAGATTAAGAGTCTCATGCTCTAGCAACTGAGCTAGCCAGGCCAGGTGGGATGTGCCACTAGACAGCCATGGATGGGGCCCACAGTGCAGGCCTGCAGCTGCAGCCACTCCCGACTACCAGCAGCTACATGAGCCTGAGCAGCAGCAAGGGCTCCTTCTCCTACAAGGAAAACTTGATTGGCGCTCTCTTGGCAATTTTCGGTCACCTTGTGGTCAACATCGCCCTTAACCTGCAGAAATACTGTCACATCCACCTGGCAGGCTCCAAGGACCCCAGGGCCTACTTTAAGACCAAGACATGGTGGCTAGGACTGCTTTTGCTGCTGCTGGGAGAACTGGGTGCATTCACCTCCTATGTCTTTGCCCCGCTGTCGCTCATCATGCCCCTCAGTGCCGTCTCCATGATAGCAAGCGCCATCATTGAAATCATATTCATCAAAGAAAAATGGAAACCTAAGGACCTCGTGAAGCGCTATGTCTTGTCCTTTGTTGGCTGTGGTTTGGTGATTGTGGGCACCTACCTGCTAGTGACATTTGCACCCAACAGTCACGAGAAAATGACAGGCAAGAACATTGCCAGGCACCTCGTGAGCTGGCCTTTTCTCCTGTACATGCTGGTGACAATCGTCCTGTTCTGCCTGCTGTTATACTTCTACAAGGAGAAGAACGCCAACAGCATCATCATGATTCTCCTCCTGATTGCCTTACTTGGTTCCATGACAGTGGTGATGGTCAAGGCTGTGTCAGGGATGCTGGTGCTGTCCATCCAAGGCAACTTGCAGCTGGACTATACAATCTTGTACGTGATGTTTGTGTACTATCAGGCCACGTTTTTGAGTTGAGCCTCTCAGATCTATGACTCCTCCTTGATGGCCAGCGTAGGCTATATCCTGTCTACCACGGCAGCCATCACAGAAGGTGCAACCTGGACTTCCTTGGGGAGAAAGCGCTGCACATCTGCGTGTTTGGCCAAGGGTGCCTCATCGCCTTCCTGGGTGTGTTCTTAATCACGCGAAACAGGAAGAAGGCCATTCCGTTCAAGCCCATATCTCCATGGACGTCATGCCAGGACTGATTGATGTGCTCCCTTGTCGAGTAGCCCCAGCGGCACCTGCTTACTGATGAGGGCGCTGGATAGCTGAATCTCAGATAGGTATGCTGGACATGCATGCAAAAGGAATGATGGTCCAGCCTGACCTCAAAGCTTCTTTCTCCTACAGGGCCTTGGAAAACAATGACAACATTTCTGAGATCTACATCCCAGTCACACTGCCCATCATGCAGGAGGAGCATAGCTCCAAAAGCACCCCTGGAAAGGCCCCGTTCATGATACAAAGATTATTCCTAAACACATACTGCTACACCCATAGATCACTGCATTGCTCAGCCCTCACCCGAGAAGCCTCTTCTTGAATTAGATGGGATTTAACATAGAAACTCACAACAGGACAAAGTGCAGAACGTGAGTGACTTTGGAGCAGTCAGCTATAAATGGGATGTCTTTAGCACATCCCTTACCTCAAGGATAGGGAATCTATGAGGAAGAGGAGACAAAAAGATTGTAAGAACCAGAGGTGGTGAATGACTCCAAGGAAACATTTTTCGAATTCTGTGGGGCTATTGCACATATGAGCTCTGAGAGATTGTGTCAGCATGTCCAAGATCTGTACAAGTTCAAATCAGGCAAAATCCCAACATGCGGAAGGGGAAATGGGCCCCAAGTCCCACTCTAACCAAGAAGACATTTGTCCTTGGTAGCTGCTGGGAGATGGGAAGTCAGTTTTCTTCAATGGAATTGTCACTGAGTGTATAAACCACACTCCAGGGCAGGCCGCAAGCGCAACAACCCAAAACAGACTCTGAGCAGTTTTATTTTGTTGTTGTTGCTGCTGTTTGTTTTCACTTTTCCTAAGAGAGAGAAAGAACAAGAAGCTTGGTGAACAAGGAGGGACATCTAAGAGGAGTTCAGTGAGAAAAAGAATAGCATCAAAATATATTGTATAAGCCTGGAATGATGGTACAATTCTTTAATCCAAAACTCTGGAGTTCAAGGCCAGTTTGGTCCATAGAGAGTTCCAGGATAGCCAGGGCTTTGTGTAGAGAGTCAGCATCAAATAAAACACACATGTACACACAAAATTAAATATATATAGTATGAGATTATTTTTAAAAATAAATACAAACATTTAAAAAGCACTCACAAGTATTGCAATGTTTCTACGGTGGCTCTAGCAAGGGCAGGAAGCAGCTAGTGACTGGATAGCATATACCATGCGGATTCAGTGGGTAAACAGGGGACTTGTGTCCTGTAGGACAGAGCAGGGTCGGGGAAGATTTCGTCATGCTAAAAGGGTGTGCATTTTAAAACTTATAAATTATTTACTCCTGGAATTTTCCACATATTATCAGACTGATGCCCACATCATGAAAATGGTGGAGAGGGACTTTTGTGCCAGGAGTTAACACTTCAGCATCTGAATTGAGGAACACACTTCAATCCATTACTATGAACAATTACCTTTCTTGTGGTGCACTTATCCAAATAATTACATTGCTATTCAGCAAACCACTATTATCTCTTTCCCCCAAAAGCAAAATCACCCATTTGTGTTTTCAAAGAAATCACGGAATTCTAGGCACAGTGTGCCCACAGCCTTACCCTCAGTGAGTGATCCCTCTAAAAATGCACACCGTAGATGGAGTCAAGCGGTGATAGCTTTGGTATTTGTGGTCCAGATCTGACATAACAAAAGCCCAGTTTAACCTGAAGAACACAAAGCAGAAAACTATTAAGTACCCAGGAAAACTGGCTTAACTTTCTGCTAAATATAGGCACGGAGATTATTATAGCTACAGCCTCGTCAGGGACAAATGGCCATGGCTTTATGATAAAATGCATCCCAGCAAACCCCATGAGGTAATTGCTAGCCCGTGCTTCTGAATTCCGCTTCCAGAAAGCACTTGGCACCATTAGTGGACAGAAGCTGAAAGAAATAAAGTGGGCTCTTGTGTTTCTAGCTTTTTGCTAGCTGGATAGCGAAGGCCAAGAAGTGGGCACAGAGCCCCAGTTTTCTATGGGAATGCCCTCCTGGGCCTTGGATTTCTCTCCTCCCTCCACCACAGAGATCTTCCTATTTCCCACCACCAGCTCAAGGCTTCCTGGCTGTCACGAGGACTCCCTCACAGACATGCCCTCAGGCCGAGACAGGCAATTCCTCCATTGAGGTCTTTCCTTCCCACGCAACCAGAGTTTGTATCAAGTTGACAAACTGGGGCATGCCTCCTAACGAGAATTGAGTTTTGACCTCCAGCCCTCCCAACTATATCCATGCTGAGAAAGGTATCCCTCCAAAGAGAATGGGTTCCAAAAAGCCAGTACAAGCATCAGGGACAAATCCTGGTGCCACTGCCAGTGGCCCTGCAGTCTGTGCCAGTCATACAACTGTCAACCACATTCACAGGGACTGGGTTGGTCCTATGCTGGTTCCTTCCCTGTACGACCAGAGTTGGGGAGCTGCCATTAGCTCAGGCAAGCTGTTTCAGTGGGTGTCCCCATCATGGTCTTAAACTCTTTGCTCATATTCTCACTCCTCCCACTCTTTAACTGGACTTTGGGAGCTCAGCCCAGTGCTCTGCTGTGGGTCTCTGTCCCTTTCTCCAGCAGTTGCTGGATGAAGGTTCTATGGTGACATTTAAGATAGTCATCATTCTGACTACAGGGCAAGGCCAGTTTGGGCACCCTCTCCACTATTGCTTAGGGTCTTAGCTGGAGTCATCCTTGTGAATTCCTGGGAATTTCTCTAGTGCCAGGGTTCTTGCTAGCCCCATAATGACTCCCTCAATCAAAATGTCTCTTTCTTTGCTCTCGGTCTCTATCCTTCCCCCAGCTCTACTATCCCATTCTCTCAAGTTCTCCTCCCACCTCCCCTTCTCCCCTCCTCCCCCTTCCATCTTCCCTTCTCCCCTACCCTCATGCTCCCAATTTTGTCAGGAGATCTTGTCTATTTCCCCTTCCTGGGGTATTTATGTATGTTTCTCCTGGGTTCACCTTGTTACTTAGCTTCTATCATGGACTATAGGGCCATTATCCTTTGCTTTACAGCTAATATCCACTTATGAGTGAGTACATACCATGTGCATCTTTCGGGGTCTGGGTTACCTCACTCAGGATGGTATCTTTCTAGTTCTATCCATTTGCATGCAAATTTCAAGATGTCATTGTTTTTTACTACTTAATAGTACTCTATTGTGCAAATTTTCTTTATCCATTCTTTAGTTGAGAGGCATCTAGATTGTTTCCAGGTTCTGGCTATTACAAATAATGCTACTAATGAACATAACTGAACGAATGTCCTTATAGTATAATTGAGCATCATTTGGGTATATGCCCAAGAGTGGTATTGCTGGGTCCTGAGGTAGGTTGATTCCTAATTTTCTGAGAAACCACCATACTGATTTCCAGAGTAGTTGTACAAGTTTGCATTCCCACTAGCAATGGAGGAGTGTTCCCGTTACTTCCACATCCTCTCCAGCATAAGCTATCATTAGTGTTTTTTATCTTAGCCATTCTAACTGGTTTAAGATGGTATCTAAGAGTTGTTAGCCTTCCATGCATGAGCACAGGAGACCACTTCCTAAATATAACACCAGTAGCACAGACACTGAGAGCAAAAAATACATAAATTGGACCTCCTGAAACTGAGAAGCTTCTGTAAAGCAAAAAACCCAGTCAATAAGATAAAAAAGGCAGCCTACTGAATGGGAAAAGATCTTCACCCACCCCACATCAGAGGACTGATCTCCAAAATATACAAAGAACTCAAGAAATTAGACAACAAAATTCCAAATAATTCAATTAAAAATGAGGTCCAGATTTAAACAGAGAATTTTCAAAGAAGAATCTCAAATGGCCAGAAGACACTTAAGGAAATGTTCAACATTCTTAGACATCAGGGAAATGCAAATCAAAACATACCACATTTTCTTTATCCATTCTTTGATAAGAACAAGGAGGCACAGTCCTTCAAAGAAAAAGAAGGCGTTTACGTCATGGAGAACAGCCCTCTTGACAAACTATGTAAGAGACGCTGGGGCAAAAAACCATGTCTTTCCACAGTGTCAGAAGTGATGAATAGGAAGCTGCATCCATTTCACTGGCTGCAATTTCCTAAATAATCCCGATTTCACAGATCGTATGGCCACCAGGAATCAGTTTCCTCGGTTCCAGTCTTAGTTACTAATATTAAGTCCCGGATCTCCCAGTACATGTCACACAGCAAGAGAATCACACAGTAACCAATGGGCTGAGAACAAGTCAAAAAGGCTGCAGAGTTTGGAGAGACCTCCCTGAGGTGAGCAGTGGAGCTGGTACAGATGGAAGCAAAGCCTGTGGAGAAGAAGGAGAAGGTTTCCCAAGCTGCAGAAGCCAAGCCGCTTGCACTGAGATGTCAGAGGTAGGACCAGGTGACAGGCCAGGCAGGGATGACTTTAAGATGGGCTGAGCTGTTGGACAGAGGCAGATGTCCTTCACTGCAGCCCAGTCTTCTTGGATGAGGCTCGTGACCAAGCGACTGGTCGGTGGCCATCACATCTCAGCGTCGGGGATCCCCTTGTTTCACGGTTCCAGTATGTTCCATTGGATGTGACTGGCAAGCTCCTGTAGTTGCCATTTCTGGCCTAGCTTATGTATTCACAGATATCATTATATTCTGGCAGAAATAAATGATCCGTTTGTGCCTCCTGGTGTGCTGGCAGATGGTGGTTGTTTACTTGTATAAACAAGATGGAGAGTCAGTCTTTTTTGGCACTTAGACTCAAGATGTAGTAACACAGGTCACGGCTGTTGCTTC